GATGGGGAATGTGAATATGGGATGTGGAATGTAAATGTGGAATGTTGACATGGGATGTGGATATGGCATGTGGTGGTGGGTGTGAAGGTTTGGCTTAGGCAGACACACAAATTTTATTTGATCGAATCCTTCTTTTGCCCCAAAAACCTTTCCTCTTGGCGATTCCCTGTACATGTCTTTTCTCTTTTCCTCACAGACTTGGATGGTACGTGGGCAAACGTAGGCATATGCACTGGCACAACAACGTGCGTATTGTTAAATAGGGCAATCTTTGTCTACATACGCATGAGTTTGTTTCCGAGTGGGTTGCAGATAGGCAAATTAGGCAGTAATGGCTGGGAAAAACGTGTACTTTACAGAACATTTTAATTTGTAAACATGCGTTTGCCTCAATTCCTTGTCCCAGAGGTCTACAATGCCACCCTTACCTTCCTAATTACGTTGTCCACATCAAAAACATGCATTCAATGTTTCACTTTTTGCCCATTGAGCTGTACCAACGCTTGTCTGTCTCCTTCAATCTCAGGTCAACGAAGGTCAAGCTCGCCCCTCCACTGAATCAATCACGTTTAACGGGCCTCTTTTCTGTTTTGACGATCATACGATCATTCGATCAAACTGCCCAACTAGACGCATGTGAGCAAGTGGTCGACTAAGCACATCTCGAACTGGTTCTGTGCGCTCTGATCGGACGACTTGGAGACGTCGAATTGCGAGAATAAAGACCGACCTTTTCGTGTCAACCAAGCGGACGACTAAAGCTGTGGCCGGCCGAGGCTGGGTAAACTCAAAACAAATGCATCTCACGAAACCGAGTTGTAGTCTCCTTGGAGATGAAGAAGAACGACTCTCGAACAACATGAAGCGTCATGGCAACACTTAGGATCTTGTGATGAATGATCTTCATGCGTTCTGTTCAAGGGCTCAAAGTGATTAGCGAATTAGAAACTTGATACAAGTCCAATTTGACGGATCTGTTATGATTACATTGTTTCGCAGACTATCATCTTGTGTGCGAGTGAACATGTAATGCAGCGATTGGTAGTTTCGCCTCACCAGAAGCCGTGTGGATCTGAAAAACCGGTTCACGCAGTCCATCAAATATGTTCTCTCTCTCTCTTTTTTTTTAATGTGAAAGTGGGATAAACTTCATAGTTTAGTTAATATAACTAGGCCATATAACTTTAATGGACTTTCCAAAAGGTATTCTCAGTCAGGTTGACGTGGACAACACTTTCGACCTAACCTGAACTCACCGCATCAACACCCCCAGCGCAACTCAAAACAGTTTGTGGTAGTGTATAGTGTGATTTCAACATTTAATCATCACACCACATTGCCACAAGTGTCCCTGCTTTATAGGCAAGACGTGACTTACAAGGAAGTCCAGGCCTCTCTTTCATACCGTATTCATAGTGAAA